TGTCTCAAAAAGACAAAAACAAATAAATAAATTAACTACTGACCACTTGATACCAATTCTTTCCTCACCAAATGCTGAGGAATTTCATCAGGCATAACCAGCATGCTATCGAAGTGATCGAGAACTGACAATGAAATTACGAGACCTAGGGCTGGCTGTGTGCTGCTGAGGTTGCCCTGTACAGGGAACCGTAGCCTTGGCTGGTACTCAGTAAGGCTGCCAACAGCTAAACCCCCGCAAAAATGACAGCCTTAGTCCCCAAGGCAAAGAATCTGAGGCTGGAGCATGGAGTACGATGGCCAGGCAGCCAATTCTGGCAGCGGCTCAAGCTTCAAATAGGCTTTGAGAGACGCTGTCTGCATACGAGCCGTGGGGAACAAAGGCCCTACCAGACGGCCCTGCGCTCTGCACGCAGCTCTGTAACCTCAGCGGGACTCGCCTTGGCACCCCCTGGTAGCTCACTCCCTCCTAGTGCAAGACTAACCTCATGCTTCTTTAACTGCATCTTCTCAAACTTCTTGTTACATTTACAAGTCACCTAGGACAGGAAGTGAGAATCAGTAAAGTGGCTGACACTCATTTGTTACTGCACAAAAACAAGTGTAATACATTTAGCCAACAACGGCAAGTCCAGCGCAGTGACGAACGTCTGTGTAAGTGGCCGCTCACCTGACAGTGCTCTGCAGCCATGTGAGTCTCCATGTCGGATCTGGGAAATGGCTCCTTGCAGACGGGACAGACACCAATGTTCCTTTGACAGTGGATCTCGTGGATGGTAAAGTTAGACACAGGAATTTCTTTTTTGCTACAGAAACAGTCCAGAGAAAAACACAAGCATTACTAACTGCTAATGCTTTTTCTTTTTTTTTTCTTTTTTGGTGCTGGAAATCGAACTCAGGACCTTGCACTTGCCAGGCAGGCACTGTGACACTGAGCTACACCCCTGCTTTTTCTTGCGGTGATATCACATGGATATCTGTCTTATTTAATCTTTTTTTCTTTTTTTTTTTTGAGACAGAGTCTCAAGATGTAGTTCAGGCTGGCTTTGAACACACTGTGTAGCGCAGGCTGGCCTCCAAGTGATCTTCCTGCCTCAGGAGTGCTAGGATTACAGGGATGTGCTACCATGCCCAACGGTCCTGTTTAAAAGTTAGTGTCCATTATCTTTCTTTACTGAATAACTGTCTACAAACTTATGACTGTTATCATTGCTACTTCTCAAGAACTACATTTGTAGCCAGGCATGGTGACACACGCCCGTAATCCCAGCACTTGGGAGGCTGACACAGGAATATCGCTGGAAGTTCGAGACCAGCCTGGGCTACAAAGTGAGCTCAAGGCCAGCCTGAACTGCTTAGCAAGACCCTGTTTCAAAAAGACAAAAAAAAAAACAAAACACTAAATCCTCAACTGAGCATTGTGGTGCATGCCTGTAATCCCAACACTCAGAAGGCTGAAGCAGGAGGGTTGCCTCAAGTTCAAACCCTGCCTGGACTACACAGTAAGACATGGCCAGCCTGAACTAAATAACAAGGTGCTGTCTCAAAAAAAAACAAAAAAAACAAAAAAAACAAAGAGTAAAACCATTTAAACTTGAAAAGGGTATATATACCCTCACACTAAAGGAACGTACAGTATTCAAAGACTACATTTGGATACAACCACTGGAAAACTTCAACTGCAGCTGAGCTAAGAATACACCAATTAGTATGTCACCTAGAATAAAAATACAGAAAAATAAAATACTGAACAAGACCAATACAATAATATGACAACAAGTGCCGGGGATAGAGATCAGTGGCATAAGTGCCTGCCTGGCAAGCAAAAGGTCCTGAGTTCGAGTCCCAGTACATCGCCCCCCCAAAAATAATATGACAATAACCAAAAATTTCTAGATGAGGTTATGTGGCTCAGGCTGGTCTCAGACTTGTAGCTTATTTCATCTTCCCACCTCAGCTTCCTGAGTAGCTGACACTAAAAGTACATTTCACTAAGGCCAGCAACAAGTCTTCACTGTCCTATTTTGCCTCTCAGCCAATACTACAAAAACCCTCCCCCATACCAAGATATGAACAGCTCATTTGTCCTTTCACAGTTTTAATACATAATCTATGAAACATTTTAAAGGAGGATGAATGACAGGCCTCCAGCTATGGTTGTTCTCTCAATATGAAAGGCCAAAACACCAAGGAAATACAAATTCAGTTTCCTCCCAGAAACTATCAAGTTCTGGATCCCAAGGCACTCTAGGACCATGACTGGACAGTGAAAGAGTAACTGTGACAGACAAGAACACACAGATGAATAGAGAGAGGACCACCAAAAGACCTGACACACTTAACTTCCCATTAATTCTCTCAAATTCCTAGCTTCCTAAGGAAACCACTGGTTTTAAATTATGTAAAAGTAAAATAAATAAATAAATAAATAAATAAATAAATAAAGTAAAAGTTTTTATAACTATAAAATATATATTGGAAAGAGCTGTACCCAAATCACCATTTTTTAACCTCACCCCTCATTGTACTGAGATTGAACACGGAACCTGGGATGTTCATACTGAGCTGTAACGCAGTTCATTTTCGTTTGTTCTGAGTCAGGTCATTATGTGGTCCAGGCTGGCCTTGAACTCACTATGTAGTGCAAGCTGGCCTCACATTTGTGGCAATCCTCCTGCCTCTGCCTCCTAAGTACTGGAATTACAGGCTTGTGCCACCATGCCTGACCTTAAGCTTATTTTAAAGATCAAAACCAGTAAATTATAACTACTGAAGATACTATGGGGGCTGGGGATTTAGCTCAGCAGCACAGTGCCTGCCTGGCAAGTGCGAGGTCGTGAGTTCAATTCCTGGTACCAGAAAACAAAACAAAACAACAACAAAAAAGATACTATGAAACTAGTACTCTACTGGTACTAGTACATTACTAGTCTTCACATAAATGCTTAAAAATAACCTGAAAATGTAATTCTGGGACTACGAAACTACACACTATTGATCCCAGTAATATTACTCTTAGAACTATGCATAAATAAATTCATTATAGTATCACAATCTAGAACATAGCAAGAACCTGTCTCCAAGGAACCAAAACTTTAAAAAAGGTTTAAACAAGAAGTTATAAATGGTACACAAAGTAAAAGCAGTGCTATATCATGACTGAATCACAAATGTCATGAAAAATTAAAGACACTTGCTACTACTTAAAGAGTGGGTAGACCCTAGGTTCCTTTTTCATCATTTTGGCAATCATTTTCTTTTAAGCAGGAAAAAATTGAGAAAACAAACGTCCATTTTCTGTGGCGCATGCCTGTTATCCCAACACTTGGGAGGCTGAGGCAGGAGGATCCTTGCCCGAGTTTGAGACCAGCTACAAATTGAGTTCAGGGCTACCTGAACTACATAACGAGACCCTGTCTCAAAAAGACCAAAATAAACCATGAACATAATATGAAGAATCAAAAGTAGCTGTCAGATTAAAACCACAGAGCATTTCCTAGTCTACATTTTCACCACTTGAGAAACCTTAAAAGAAAAAGGTAAGAGGTATTTGTAACAATTACATATACATGTGTATGTGTTTGTGCCCCAGCGTGTACCTGCATGCAGTTAAATACTATGGGGGGGGCAATGAATCCTTAGGTGCCTATGCTTGGTAAGAAATACAAGATATTCCCACCAAATAGTCCAACCAGGTAAAATACCAATAAGCCAACTTCCTACCAACAGAAAAAATGAAGATGGTTTCAGTGAGACAACGATAACACAGTTCCATACACCAATAATAGCAGAGTCCCAAGGAAGGCTAAGCTAAGAGGTGAAATTTCATTTTAGATAGAAATGATTTAGCCAGGCGCGGTGGCACACACCTGTAATTCCAGCATTCGAGAGGCTGAGGTAGGAGGATGGTTGTGAGCTGGAGACCAGCCTGGGCTACATAAGCAAGCTCAAGGCCAGCCTGAACTGCATAGTGAGACCCTCTCTCAAAAAAAAAAAAAAAAGACCTCAATGAGACCCTCCCTCTCCCTTTTTTAAGCTGCAAAGTTTTATTAAGGAAGAGCCGTGACTGAGCTGCTCTGGCTGAGCAGCTGTCAGCAGACGCAGAGCCAAGCTCACTGAACCTTGCTCTGAATCAGCGTCAAACAGCCCTCGGGGCCACTCTGGGTAACACTGCATCACACTCTGGAAAAAGCCACTGGTACAATTCAGATATTCATTATGTAGTTCCTATCTACTTATTTTCTTTCTTTTTTTAATTTTTTCTTGTCTTTTTGAGACAGGGTCTCGCTATGCAGCTCAGGCTGGACTTGAGCTCACTTTGCAACTCAGGCTGGCCTCGAACTCATGGTGATCCTCCTGCCTCAGCCTCCCAACTGCTGGGATTACAGGCGTGTGCCACCACGCCCAGGCAATATATTGCTTATCTGTTTAATAACACGTTCCAACATACAAAAATAAGTTCCCTAAAGTAGGGAAAAAAAGTGAGATTCTAGGGACTGGGGTGCTCAGTAGAAAGCACTTGCCTACCGTGTACAATTTCCAGGGTTAAAAGAAAAAGGCTCTCAAGCAGTCCAGTGACTCACTGAAAGTCTTTCGGTTTTTCTGGTGGTTGCACTGTTTTGTTTTGTTTGGGATTTAGTGGTTCAACTAGAGGTTAAACTCAGGGCCTTCACTCTGAGCTACATCCCAATCATTTTTCTGCTTTATTTGAGACAATGTCTCACTACGTCGCCCAGGCTGCACTCGAACTCATGATCCTCCAGCCTCAGCCTCCAAAGTGCTGGGGTTATAGGTATGTGCCACCTTGGCTGGCATTAAGTCATCATTTAAAGACAGAAGCCTGAGCCCTGACTCCCAGCCTCATGCCAGCAACCTAGTCACTTCTCTCTTCTACCTTGTCAGATTACTAAGTATCTTATTAAAAAGTTTTAAAGTCATTTACTTGAATCATGTATTATACAGTTCCAATTTTAACCTACCAAGAAATAAACAGCCCTACAGAAACTAGTTTGTCTGCATTCCCATAACTTTTCTTAAATTAAACTCTTACCAGTTGTCACATAGTCGAGTATCCTGGTCTTCTAGAAATTCAGCCATCTTTAGCACTTCCTGAAAACTACAAAGCAAGAAGTAAGGACTTTGTTTCATTTCTGCTTTAAGGATGACAGGCAAAAGTAAATAAAAAGCTATCATACAGAAAACAGGACCCAAACCAGCGCAGGAAAGCACTGCATCTAATACCCAGCACTCTTCTGCTCTTCCCCTCCTCTTCTTTCCGCAGCACTGGTGACCGAGCCCCGACAGCACCAAGCTGCACCCCAGCCCTTTGTATTTTTGAGACCGTCTCACTAAGCTGCTCAAGCTGGCCTGTAAATTTGATTCCCCTGTTCCAGCCCCCCAAGTGGCTGGAATTGCAGGTGGACACCACCACACCCAGCTTATTTTTGAAAATTTTAATTGAAAATAATTTTACTTAGAAAAACAGTTCCAGCCGGGCATGGTGGCACACACCTGTAATCCCAGTACTCAGGAGGCTGAGACAGGAGAATCATTGCGAGTTCCAGGCCAACCTGGGCTACAAAGTGAGCTCAAGGCCAGCCTGAACTGCAAAGGGACCCTGTCTCAAAAAGAAAAAAAAAGAAAACCAGTTCCAACAAAACAGAACAAAATAATTCCCTCATACCCTTCACCCAATTTCCCTAAAAGTTAACACCATAAATGACCAGTGTAAAGTTCTCCGCTATGGGAGATTAACATTAATACTAACAACTACTCCACAGATCTTACTCAACTTTCAACAACCATCCCACCAATGCCCCTTTTGCTGGATCAGTAGACATTATTTCTCCTTAGTTTTCCATGACCTGGGAGGTCTGTTCAGTGTTTCTTTGTCTTTCACAATTTGATCAGCTAATTATTAGCTTAACTAGTCGTTATTTACTATTAGCAGTTACTAAGTTACTAGCTACTGGCTAGTTACTTTTATAAAGTCTCAATCTGGGTTTGTCTGTTTCCTCAGGATTGAATTCAGGTTACACATTTTGGGCACGTATACCCCAGAAGTGACACTGTGTCCATCCTGGTGTATTATATCAGAAGGCACATGACGTCAACAGTCTTATTACCGCTGATGTTCACTCGAGATAGTTGAGATGATATCTACCAGGTTCCTTCACTATGAATTTTTTTCTTCTTTTTAAGTAAGATGTCAATGTAGAAAGCAAATTACCAGCAATTTTATACTAAAGCTTATGTTATTTAAAAAATGGTCTTAGCCGGGCGTAGGCCTGTAATCCCAGCACTTGGGAGGCTGAGGCAGGAGGATCGTTGCGAGTTGGAGACCAGCCTGGGCTACAAAGTGAGCTCAAGGCCAGCCTGAACTGCACAGCGAGACCCTGTCTCAAAAAAAAAAAAAAAAAAAAACAGGGTCTTACCTGGGGATATAGCTCAGTGGCTTAAAAAAATGGTCTTAAATACTATCCCATAAGAAGAATCTACAATGATTTTGGCATTATCAAACCTAATGCCACATTTCAAATTGTATTTGTTCATTTATCCATTCAATGGGTTAGTACAGATCCTGTAAGAATATTTTACAAATTAAATATAGTGTCTGACAAAACAGAGCAATAAATGGCCAAGAAAAACAAAAACCAAATATAACCTAAGGTGAGTTTTTTTTAGGAAAAGACAAATGAAGATGGAGAATGTAAGTGTGGTCAGGCAAGAACTTTCCAAGATGACATTTAGACTAAGACCTCAAATACAAAAAGCTGGCCAGGCAAAGACAGGGGTGCAGGGTGGGGTGGGAAACCCCATGCAATTACTGAGAAGAGCAAAAAGGCCTGAGGAAATGAAAGAGAAAGTAAAAGTAGACGGGCAGTAGCATTTTGAAAAAGGGGAAGCCTGGCTTAGTGACCTATACATACAATCCCAGCACTCTGGAAAGCTGAAGTGGGAGGATGGCAAGTTCAAACCCAGCCAGGGAAATTCAGCACCTTAGTGAAATCCTGTCTCAAAATCAAAAAGGGCAGCAACCCCTTCAGGACCCCTCCTGTCTCAGGAGCTAGTCCTATTCCCCATTCCTTTTCTCCAATAAATTTTCCTACTTAAAAAATAAATAAAATATATAAATAAAGAAAAAGGGGGGGGCGGAGCTAGGGGTGTAGCTGTGCAAAGGTCTGTCCCAGAACTGCCAAAACACAAAACCGAAGAATGATGTGAAAAGGCCCTACCGTGTAGGAAAGGAATGGATCGCATTCCAAGCTCAATGGGCAATTACAGAAGGGTTTATAACTGGGGACTGACGTGATTCAAGATATCCGCTCCCACAGCAGATGTCTACTGGGAATAGAAAGCCCCCAGCTATGAAAACGAACCTCATTTCTCGAGGAGGGGGCGGGTCTAGATACCTCCCGGGGCAAACTGACGATACGAAGTGCGCGAAGTGCGCTTGCTCTACCGCGGGCTACTAAGCAGCCAACTCTAAGGGGAGAGGCGCGGGGAGGTGCGCACTGCTCCCTGGAGTCCCGCCTGGCCACGCACCGCACAGCCCGGGCAGCACCTGGGCCCCAAGGCCCTGACTCTCACCTGGTCTTTGGCTCCTGGCTCAGCCACACAGCCCCAGTCCCCACCCAGGCCTCGTGTCAGCGGGCCATCACAGTGCACGCTGGCCTGGTTTCCCGGGCACACTGACCCCCAGGCAGCACACCGAGCCACAAGGAGCCCGGTGGTGTGCTTGTGGGTGCACTGGATGGCGGCTGGACCCCAGCAGCTGGGACCATACTGCAGCCCAGCATGGGCTGCCACCTTCAGGCACTCCTCCTGGCCACAATGGACGCTGGCAACTGTCTCCTTAACTCTCCTGGTGCAGCTCAAGGTTGCCGATGTCTTCAGAATGGGCAGCTGGTTCTTCACGGCCATGAGGACCAAGAGCCAGCGCTATGGCTCGCCTTCCTCCACAGGTGAGTCCAAGTTCAGGGGGACGCTTCCCAGCAACCACAACCTACCTACCCCGGAGCTCTGAGTAAGAATGGGATGACTAAGCCGGGCGTGGTGGCACTCAGGAGGCTGAGGCAGGAGGACTATCATGAGTTCAAGACCAACAGACTATGCAGTAAGTGCAATTCCAGCCTGAACTACAAAACAAGACCCTGTCTCCAAAGGAAAAAAAAAATGTGAGGACCAAGAAGGGGAACTGAGTGTCCCCCCACCATGGTCACCCACTTCCTCTCCAAGCTGTAACCCTCCGGGGGAGCCTGCCTCAGCTTCCAGAAGCCTCTGAGAGGTGCACTGTCTTTGGACGGGGAGTTTAAGGCAAAAGCAGACGTAAGATATTTAAATACGTAAAATGTGGTACTTATGCACAATGGAGCCCTACTCTGCCATACCGAAGTACAAACTTGAGTCATCTGTAGGAAAATGGGTGCACCTCAAGTGAACTAAGTCAGGCACACTAGCTAAGTGTCACATGGGTTTTTTTGTTTTGTTTTGTTTTTGTCTTTTTGAGACAGGGTCTCGATATGCAGTTCAGGCTGGACTTGAGCTCACTTCTGTAGCCCAGGCTGGCCTCAGACTCAGGCAAGGATCCTCCTGCCTCAGCCTCCTGGGTGCTGGGGGCATTCGACACCACACCCGGGTCATCACATGGTTTCTAAACCCAAAACATAATAAAAATTAAACTAGAGATAATCAGGTCTAATGGCACATGCCTATAGTCCCAGCACTCAGGAGGCAAAGGCAAGGGGATTACCACAATTTCAAAACCAGTGTGAGCTACAGAGGGAGAATCTCTCAAAAAAAAAAAAAAAAATCAGTGTAGATAGATAAATAGAAAAAAGGAGATAGACCTTTTGCAAAAGGGAACTGCAGGGCGTGGTACTGCAGGCCTGTAATTCCAACACTTGGGAGGCTGAGGCAAGAGGATCCTCGCCCAAGTTCAAGGCCAGCCTGGACGACAGAAGTGAATTCAAGGCCAGCCTGAACTGCATAATGAGACCCCCCCCCCCAAAAAAAGGGAAGGGAACCAAAAGACGACGGGAGGGCGGAGACTCGGGAGAGAAAGGGATTAAAAAAAAAACAGTAAGATGTGTATGTACATGTACAACTCCGCTCGAGGAATGTAATTATTACGTACTGCAAACATGCACTACTAAAAATAAAAAAGCCAAGCGTGGTAGTGCACACTGCACTAGGCAGGCTGAAGCAGGAGGATCGCCAGGAGTTCGAGGACAGCCGGACCCACAATGTGACGTCCCGTCTCAACAATAATAATAATAAAAAATAAACTACAGCGAGACTTTAAGATAAGGGGTCTGCCCAGTCTTCTGGCTGCACGGGAACTGGGGATGGGCGAGTCAGACCTCCGGGAATGGAGTTCCGGTCCCTGCGCCTGAACCCCTTTGGGGCTCTGACAACTGACAACACTTCCAAGGGCCGCGGGGAGAAGGCAACGGGCTAAAGCCTGGAAGGGCTCGGGCAGAGGCCCCGAGGCCCGCGCAGGGAGGCTGGGAGGCAACGAGCACCGGCCAAGTCCTCACACCTGCCGCCTTCCGGGCCCCGGCCGGCAGCGCAGGCGAGACGGCGAAGCGGGTCCCC